AATTTCTGTATTTTTATTTATAGAAGTTCTATTTGGTTCTTTTTCATATCTGCTACATCATTTAAAAATGATTTTTCCATACACTGCAGATATTTTCATTGTCTTTTAGTTCTTTAAACACAATGAACATAGTTTTTTTTAATACACTAAGCCTGATAATTATAAAATCTCTTACTGCCATCATATTGTTCCTTTCAATTCTGTCTTGAGAACTGTTTTCTTAGGTGCTAGTTATTTCTATTATGACTTTATTTTAATTTTCCTTGGAAAATTAATTGTAAGAATTATTTGAGGCATAGCATTGAGGTGCATTTCACCAAAAAGGGTTTGCGTTTGCTACAATAAAGTTCCTAGGCACTGCTAATCCAAACCACTTTAAACAACATTCAGAGCTTGAAGTTCTGTGGATCCCATGGGTGATATTAATCTAGGCTGAAAATCTGTCTAATGACATTTTCATGTTTGTAATATCCCCACGACAGGCAATTATTCCTGCCCAGCCCCCTCAATTTCTCAGTAGCAAGTCTGATTTCCTTTCAGTCTTCTGGCAGTTTGATTGGTTGAATTTCCTTGTAGCTTTGGCTTTATATAGGAAGGGTCTGCCATTGAATTCCTCATCTGAGGTGGGCCCTAGATTTTGACTTCTGAACTTTCTGCCCTGGGAGGCTTTCAAAACCGATACTAAATTTACTTGATTTGGAAACGGCTCTCTTGCAAGATCAACTTCAATGTTCTGCTTAGCTCTCTGAATATATACTTTCCTTTGTATTTTGCACTTGTAAGTTCTCATTATCTTGTCAGTTATTTGATGCCTTAGAATTTGATTTTATATTTTGTCCATTATTTTAGTTTTTTTTAAAGCAGAGTGATTTCTTAGCCTATCATATTGCCATAAATGCAACTGTAATGTGGATTTTGAAAAAGCAAATCAATATAGAATAATTGTTAAGAATACAGTCTCTGGAGTCACATTGTCTGGCTTTATATCATAGATGTTTCTTGGCTTTATCTGCTATGTGATATTGGACAAGTTACTTCATTGTGTTTCACTTTTCTCATCTTTAAAATGAGGAAAGTAATAGTATTTTCCTCATAATACAGGTAAAACACTTAGTACACTTTTGGTCATTTAATGTCATTATGATTACCTCTCTTTGAAATTGGTTGAGAGAGAAAATGAGAAATAGCAAGAGATGAGAAGAGGGAGGATGAGCTGTATGGGAACAGGGAATGAAGAAGATACAAGTTTGGGGGGAAATGATATAAAAAGAGGTTTTATTAAGCATGTCTTGCTGAATGTTATGCAATATAATTCACCTCTTTCCATTTCCTCGAAAAATCTTCAGTAAAGACCTACATATTTTTCAGCATTCTTTTGTTATGTGTTTTGTTTTGTTTCCCCACCCCCAGGAGGATTTGTGGTTTTTTAGGAGGCAGGAGATGGATGTGATACTGTACCAAGACTGGTTTCTGGGTGGCTCAATCTTATTCTTATTACATAGTTACCTTACAGCTGTCAGCGAGTCCACCGCAAACACTGTTGTCTCCACCGCTTTGGCAATCTGTCTGAAACATAGCAGGCCTCAAACACAAACAAAAGAACACCAAGATAACTTGAATAAAATGAACAAAATTTTTAATTAGAAAAGTTAGATGTTAGGTTTTTCTAACACTGACCATAGTAAGAAAGATGATATAATAGTTTCCTTCCTAACCTTTTAAAAACAACATTTTCTAATTACAAACATGAACTTAGTACAGAATCCTCAAAAAACAGCAGGGTTTCTCTACCTCTGCGTTGTTGACACCTTGGGCTGGATAATTCTTTGTTGTGGGGGGCGAGTAGGAAGTTCAGCAGCCTCCGTAGCCTCTACACACTAGGTGCCAGTAGCACCCTCCACCTCCAGTAGGAACAACCAAAAATGTCTCCACAACTTGCCCAATATCCCCTGGGAAGAAAATATGCTCCAAGTCGAGAATTATTTGGTGCATGAGAGGAATTAGAAAAATCACCTGTAGTCCTACTATCTAGAAATGTGGACTTTTTGTTGACATAAATAAAGATTACAAAACCCTGTCACATTAAACTTAGTGTTCTATAGCCATTTTTTTTTTCACTCAGTAATACAGCATCAACATTTTGGTTATGTGATATCCCTCTACAGGATGGGTTTTAATGGATGCTGGTGCTAACGCTGTATGAAAGCATCGTACTTTACACAACTCATCCCATAGTGCTGGAGAATCTGATCGTTTCAAATAAAGCTTCACTATATATATCTGATTATTTCCTTAGAATAAATTCTTGTGAGTAAAACTGCAGCTCAAACTAAGTTTGGTGCTGTCCACCGCTATGGTGATGAACTTCAGAGCACCTAATCTTGCCCTCACCTGCCAAGAGCCCTTTGCTCAGGATCCATTCTCACGCAGAGAGGTGTCTTCTGACCGCCCCGCGCCTCTCCTCGGTGTTTCCTTGTCTAGCAGGACGACAAAGTCCCGCCACGGTGGGATGGGGGCGGGGGAGAGTGAGCCGTACCGGCCCTCCACCAGCGGGAGGCGCTGTGGAATCCGCGGCGGCCCCGGACGAACCAGGACGCCGCTCTCCGTCGGTGGACGCTCTGCCCGCCAGCCCCGCGTCGCCTCGGCGGCCTCCGGTTCGGGGAAGTGTTTCTAGGAGACGGCGATAGCCGGCCGCGCCTGCGTAGTTGACGCTACCGGGGGCGGGCTGACGGACCCGAGGCGCTGGCCCACGGAGCGAGTTCTCGCTGGCTCTGGGTCGCTGTCGCCGCCTGGCTTCTCTAGCTCCATGGTACTCCCGTGAGGCTGCTTGCCGGCATACGTCTCCTCGGGATGGAGCACATCCGGACGACCAAGGTAGTCGGGTGCAGAGAGCCATTTGCCGCTGGCCTGGTCTGACCTGGCAGAGGCGGTAGGCGACGAGGGCTCGCCTGGCGTGACTAGGGCTGGGGACTGGCCGGGTGGGACCTGGCCGGGCCTGGTCTGGGAGGGCAGGGTCAGCTTGGGCCAAGGGAGGTGCGGAGGCCTCCTGTACCTACGGGAGCAGGGGTCTCTTTCAGAACCTCGGAGTGCTTGAGGATAAGTCCGGGGAAATTGGTCAACGCCTTCTTAGCTGTAAGCTTGCTTTCTTTCCTTTTTTTAAGGAGGCAAAATTGGAATTGCTTTATCTTTGGGGGCTTTCAGCTGTTCATCGCTTCATATACCGGAAACAGGGCGGGTCCTCACATTAACGTTACGATGTTGTGTAAGCTTTCCTTTGCTCACGTTTCGTCGTCCCGTGTCACAGATTCATGATGCAAGTTTTGGAGGAGCCAAGATCACTCTCACTCTCTTGTCTCGGTCTCCAGTCATTTAGATTGGGTATTTCCGTGTCTGTGCTCCAAACTTTCGGCGTTAAGTCAGCTTAATAGACGAGTTATGGAGAAGGGGAAAGTGTTATTCCGTAATTTAAAAGGTCAGATGGAACTTTCTTCGATTGAAGTTATTAAATTCCATACTTCTTATGTGTGAAAGACATTTATTTTGAGAATGAACGAATATTTTATGATTCCGTTACAAATTTAAAAACTTGAGGAAATGACATCACAATAGTATCGAATTACTTTTCCAGCATTAAAGTTAAACTTCAACTTTGGGAGGGAGACAAACATAAATCGAGACCAGAACTGAATAACATTTTAAGGTCGCTCAGAGCCTATTGATTAGGAGGAAGAGCCACTGAATTTGACTCTCCGTGTTTTGCCAAAGCTGAAACTGTCACTCAGTTGCTGCTCATCTTAAAGTTACGGCTAGCTGGGGGAACTAGCAAACTTAGTTATCTTCGTTGTTCCAATGAGAATTTGAGATCTATGTCTTTAAAATATTTCACAAACCTTTTAAAGGTGCACATGGATTTTTATGAGAGCTTGTTTTTAACATTGCACATACAGTACCTGGTAAAACTGAAGATGCTAAAAACTGACCCCCCTTTTTAAAAAA